CCTTGGAGAAGGAAGTTATCATCAACGCATTCCAGGAACCTCCCAGATTGCTTATGCCCTGCCGTGTTGTCCCTCCAACAGATATCAGGGTGACTGAAGTCCCCCATGAGGACCAGAGCTTGTGAACGTGAGGCTGCTCCTATCTGTCTATAGAGGGCCTTATCTGCTTGGTCTTCCTGGTCAGGTGGCCTGTAGCAACATCAGTTTACCAACATCACATTGTAAACCTTTCTGGAACACTGACACCAGAACTTCACAGCAATATTTTTCAGTATATTTATCTACAATCAAGAACAACAGTGCTGATCTGTTCTTCAAATCTCCAGACGCAGCCTGGATTCTCCCTCCTGAATATGCAACAATGCATTTGGCTTTATGGAGAAAAGGGTACTGGGGTGGCAGAGAACACACTTTGCATTCGCAAGTGCCTAGGTTACTAAGGTATGTAGACAGATCTATACAGTTTCTGTGTCATTATTTCTGCCCCCTCCCCCCCCCCACCACAAGTTTAATCTGGAAGGATTTTACACCTACTCTCAGATTACTGATCTTAATGGAGTGTGAAATCTAATACTGTTTTAGCAGAACTCCACTCTGCAGGTGAGCCAGTCTTGAGACATTTAAAGTCAAGTTTAACAAATGTGTATCTACACAACTAGACTACCAAATCTGTAATCTCAACGACTGAGAACAAGTTTGACAAAACCTACTGTCTAAGAAAGACACGTTGACTGAAATGTAATTATACTACTTCCTTGTGAACAGAATTACCTGTCAGAGTTTCCAATTTTGCTTGTGACTGACGACAGGCAACCTGGCTTAGAGTTACCCAGGTTCTCAGGTTATCCCTTTTTTGAATATTGGCATGAAACATGAACATTATTTCCATCTTCTGGAATCTCCCTGATATGCCAGGGTGGTTTTTTGTTTTTAAAATCAACAGATGAGCTCTCCTCCTCATGGGAACTGTGCAATACAAGTCCTGTTTCAAAATGTTTATTCCTAATAAATGTTAAGCAAAATGTTTTAAAACATCCTCTTTTGTTACTAATAGACTGAAAAGCAGTTCATGCAACATAATCATATACTTTTGCTCCTTTCAGGAAGGAAGTTTTTAATCGAACACTTATTTCTGCACCATTAACAACAATTTTATCTTCACCCAGTAACAGGCTTATACAATTAAGATTCCTTTGGTTTCCAAATGTATTTAAACTTCTTTTTATTTTGGGGCCTGATAATACAGAATCTTCCCTAGTATCTCCAGGTTCTATCATCAACTTTATGTCTTAACTTAATCTGTACTAATTAACTGCTATCCATCTTATTGCCCATATAAAATTAGCCCAAGTGGGAAGTGAAGGCAGCAGCTAGTAAGAACCCTCATTCTGCCTTAGACCACTGCTATTACTCCTCATCTGAAGCCTCTTAAACCCAAAACAGTTCACACTTGCAAGGTTTCACCTAAAACATCTTCCCTTATGTAACTTCATTTGGCTTTGTAAATACATCTTTCTGACAAGAAAATCAAATCATCCTGCACCCTGCTCATATTGTTTTCCAGAATGCAAAAGAACTACAAAGCATTTCTGCCCTGAGCTAGCAAAAAATCAATGGCAAGAGCCAAGCTATAAGCCTACTGAACCCAAACCACATAGTGGTAGTGGTACCTAGAGCACACTTCCCAGTTCTTGAGATTACATTAGGTCCTATCACTTTAGATTCAACAGTAGTACACACATAGACTGTATTACGAGGCTCAACAATGGGCCTCAAGAGAGGCCCCAAAACATCTGAATCAAAATGGATACAACACTTCAAAGCTCCTATACAGAAGCTAACCCAGACTTCAACCTCATGCTAACTAGCAAAATTCAGACTAGCTCCAGGCAGAGCCACAACAGTGCCCCCAAACAGTATCATCCATGGATATGTGGACTGGAGAATTCTAGACAAAAACCAGAGGATGGTGGCTTACCAATGCAAGTTTTAAGTGATTCAGTAAGACAATACAGGGATATTGTTAGATACATTTACGCATAATTATATCTGTACATATGAACATGTATTATGTGCATGATTTTATTTATTTATAATACATTATGTCCTGTAAATTAACCCGGGGGAAATCAAAGAACTTGTTCATACAATATAACAGAGTATCTCTGTAGCACTGGCTGGTACTAGACCAGAGCCATTTACCAAACAAGAGTGGTGCTCAGAGTTGGTAACATCCGAAGGCAGTCGCCCCCAACACCCAACTCCCATAACTGTTATAACAAATTATTTAGAGCAATACATAGCAACTGATGTAGCAAGGACATAATTTTTAATTGATAATTAGACGGGAAAATATTTGTTCTTCATGAAAGGTTAAAGATTAGCCTGATTTAGCATGCTGGTAAGAAAACAAAATCTGCTGAAACAGCTGGGCAGCAGCGTTCTTTTCTGCTGCCACTGGTTCATTCACCCACTTGCAACAGTTGTTTCACGAATTCTCACATTTGCTTGCCAGACTAGTCTAAACTAGAACTTCTAACTAAAACTAAACAGGCAGGTTTCAAAGCCACAATCATTGAAGCATTTTTAACTCATAGTAATACTCCAAACAAAGAAGGACAAACAAATGCCAGAGTATCTGCTTTTACAGGGACAGTCATTGATTTGGTTTTCTAAGGGAGGACTCGACCTGCCAGAAGACATTTTAATCAAGCGTCTTTTAAAACGCATCTAGAGGCAATGCAACTTTATGACTGGCAAATCTACTCAAGAAGCCTGTGTACCTGTAGCATCACAAGTTATTTGTACCGTTTTTTCCCCCTTGGCATAGTTAAGACTGTGTATGCTTAGACCAAAGACACTGAATTGTTCCACACCCTTTGAAGGGTATTTCTTCAAGAGGAGTGACTGCAAGAAGAATGAGTCAGAAAAACATTTTTGCTAGCTGCACTTCTCCCCCTGGTAAAAATATTAATTTTAAGTTGATCTAATAGGGACAACTCAATAGAGCTTCAAAGCAACAGATTAGGACTTAAAAAAAAAAAACAACCCAGTCTATTTCAAGCAAAGAATTTAAGATTTCCAGAAAATCCTTATTTCCTGATGTAGTTTTTTGCTTATGTGTTTTTGTAAAATCCTCTTTTGCAAGGCACTGAGTCCATTTCTGACACACAACTCCCAGTATTTGTGGTACAGAAAGACTACAACCTAATACTCAAACCTATTCATAAAAACAAAACCCAAACATTTTTATTAAAGCTACTACTGACAGCTAAGTAGCAGAACCAAAGCGTTATTCTTCAGATTAAGTTGTACAATACACATCCAGAAGTGCACAGAACTACATTTTCAGTCAAAACACGGATGCTATCAGGTACCCAGAACTTTTGAGTTCACATCAGTACAAACCTAGGGTTCATACTCTAGGTTTCTACTTTAGAATTACATGAGTAAAATAAGAATTTTCATTTTAGAGAGGGCTTGCATAGCATATGCATATTACAGATACATACAGCAATTAAGGACCTGAAGTGTATGGCAGGTAGAGAACCTCAAGTCATTCAAATGATAAATTAGAAAAGGAAACTAAACATTTCAGTCTACACAAACCACTTAAAACAGTTACTGTATGGAACAATGGATGAAGAAAAAAAAGGGAAGAAAGTACCTCCTGTCCAGTAAGAAAGAGTAAGAGATCTCCTTCCTCTTCTTCACACATGTGAATTTGGATCACTGTTCGAATGGCAGCCTCAAGGTAGTCTCTTTCTGGTTCTGGAGTATAGAATATCTCCACAGGATGGGTGCGACCCGGGATAGTTAGAAGAGGACAGTTATCAAAATAGATCTGAAACTTGCCAGCATCTAAAGTAGCACTCATAACTATAACCTGTAGGTTTGGAGGACAAAAAAAAAGAAAGTTACTCCAAAGATTAACAAGAATTTGTGAAACGTTATGCATACAATATGTAATAGTAAGAAACTAAACTCAATGGTTGACTGCAATTTAAACATGCTTTTATCACCTGAATACAGCACCCTTGTCAAGAAGGTCCAAAAAAATTCCTAGTCAAATATAGAAAGGTTAAGCTACAATTACGTTGTTTCTAATATTTTCCTCAATACAAACTGCATTACGAATTTCCTAGGGTTATCTTTCCAATACAGATTATGATTAGATCAAAAAACAGTTGATCTACTTTAGCTGATTATAAAAATCAGCTAATGGTAAGCACACAGATACCTTATTCGTTATGCGTGCAACTAGAAAGGAGATGCTGTCGGGCTTCATCATTACTGACCTTCAAATCAGATCTTTGTCTTACAACTTCCTTCAAAACGCCCATCAAAATATCAGTAGCCAGTGTTCTCTCATGGGCCTCATCAAGAATTATAACACCATAGCGCTCCAGCAAAGGATCATTCATTGCTTCACGAAGTAACATACCATCAGTCATATACCTGAATACAAACAAAAACAATTTAAACACAAGTTTTATTTAGTAAGTCTGATACAGAATCCTCTTCCATATCATTCACTAGGTTGCTTGAACTAAGCTTTTAAACAACTTTTTTTTAAAATAGAAACATCAGTAAACTATCTCCAACAAGGTAACAAGCTCATTTTAAGTTTTCAAATAGAAATTACTGCAGAATATAAGTGAAATCTGGGAGTAGGGGAGGAAGCTTAAAAAAAAGGGAAGGGGAAACAAGGTTTAGCAACACTTTAGACTAATTTGTAGACTATTACTGCCAGACCTCTAAGTCTACAATCAGAGACAGGAAAAGAAAGGGAAAAAACCCTTCCCTTTGAAATCCTAGAAATATTATTTCTGCCGTTGTTTCTCCCCTTTTCTGTTTGCAGATCATCTGTTCACTTTTTGCCTTTGCGTCTCACTTACATTTCTTTTTACACATTAACTTTATTCCCAGCCTTCAACTACTTGCATGAGCAAAAGAGAAGACATCTTTTTGATAGAAAGGCACTGTTTCTTGAACCACACTATGTGGAATCCTTTTTAACTGAGCATTCTGAATGTCACCTCCAAATGATGTATTAAGTGGGCCTGGTTCCACTTACACAGCACAGGAATCTAGAACAGTTGACAACTAAAACACTATGGATTATGTGTCCCAGAGTCAGGTATAGGCCAGTTTTGAAACCTTGTGGTAGTTCTCCTTACTGAAGTAAGCTACTGAACTTCACCAGGATTACCCTGAGTAGGAAGATACCACAGACAAAGGTCAACTGAATGCGTAACACGAAGAGAAACTGAATACTAAAGGGCTTTATTCTGAACAGCACCTTAATCATAAAAATACTTCTTCAGATCACCCTCTTCTTTATGGATCACTTAAAATTAATTTCCATAGGGTGCAGTGATTTCTTTAGGAGGAATGACTCATTTTCAATTCTACTCAAGCCCCACACCCCAGGTTTCTTAGCTCACGCTACAGCTCCTGTCTCTCTTCTTCACTCAGACATAGAAGGTACCTGTCCATAGATTCATTCCCCTCCTCACTACTCCTTTCGTAACTTCGCTCACACCCTTTACTACCCTGGGACTCCCCCCACCTCCAAGCAGGCTGTGTTATACCTTTACAGTTGCCATACTTACTTCAAAATAGTTTTTGCACTACTGCAGTCTTCAAATCGAATAGAGTAACCAACCTCCTGGCCCAGCATGACATCCATCTCATCAGCAACTCGCTGCGCCACACTCATTGCAGCTACTCTCCTAGGCTGGGTACATGCTACTCCCCTCTTTGGTCCAGGTAGAGAGCGCATGTAGTCAACACACCACTGAGGGATCTGTCAAGAATAAAATTCAGTTTTAAACATACTTCAAATGGCCAGATGTAATCTGTAACCTTTTTATTGTATTACAAAGTTAGTTATAATTCCACTGAGATGCCAACTGCATGCACAAAAATATCCAAAGCATGAGAGCAGATAGACTAGCTAGTTGGACCCAATGCCACTAAATAAAGCACACTCATGTTAAGCACGTACATAACTATCTTTGAAGTTATCAAAGAAATACATAGGTTCACAGTACCTTTAAGCACTGTTAGATCAGTACCTCATACAGATATTTAGCAGCAGCCAACATGCTCCAAAGCAACCAAAATTAAAGTTAACACTCAGAATTTTGAAATCTGTAGCACAGTTTGCTGTTTTAAGTTTTACAGTAAGCAAATTATAGTTTGTGGCTTTAAAAAGTAATGCTTATTAATACAGTAACAAAAAAGAAATATTTTAGTGATACAAAAAATATTTGTCTTAGCCAAGAATCACAACAAATAAAATGAACAAATAATTAGTTATGTTCGCTTAGTTAATTATTGTTCTTTTGAAATTTTAACAACCAGATATGAAACCCCTATGTTTTCCTTCCTCTGTTAGCGCTCATTTTATTTGTCAGTCAGCAGTTTTCTGCTCCTGTTAGGAGTCTGGAAACAGTAAGAATCACCCCAAATAAGCAGCTTTATTCAGAAGAATTTCTAAGGTCAGTAACAATTTGATGAAGATGGAATATTCTTAACATGTTCTCAGTGTGACGTTTTATGAGAAGACATCTCCAGGCACAACTAGTTCCAAGTCTACAGATCAAATAAAATCCACTCCTCCTCAGTAATTGCTTTTCAAAGTATTCTTAAAAGCTCATGTTTACAGAGGAAAACACACATTTATACATTGCACCAATGTGGAATAACAGGAAAAGCAGCGTAATTTAAACCAGGAAAATTTTTCTTCTAGAATATGGTATTTCCACAGCAAAATGGACATAACTAAGCACTAAAACATACTCACAAGCAGACAAGTGTAGACTGTAATGAAAAAATCTTTTTTTTTTTTCCTAAATGGAGAACATACTTCCATTATAAATAAAAAGAAAGCAAAGACTATCAAAATATGACAGGAGACTAAGACTGCTGAGAAGAAAAGAACTCGAATTTCTGGAAATCCTATTCAAAACTAAAAATAATAGCAGTTCTCGAACACTGATAGCATGAACCTGAAACCTTACCCTGCAACACATATACACTCCCCTAATATGCAGTGTAGAGAAAAGAATTTGCTTCCCAAGTCACTAATAAAAACTCAACTCTAAGCATATTATATGAAGCTTCTTGACTTTAAAAAGAACAAGTCCTGAAATAAACTTTAAAACAGCAGGTCTGTTGGGTCACAGTAGCATGAAATAAAAATAATTTAGAAGTGGTTTCCCAGTAAACACCAAAACGTACAGCACTGGCGTCAAATGAAAGACGACAGTTACATTGACTTCAATGTGTTAAGCTGATTTACATGACCACCAGAATGCTTTTCACATCCAGCTTTAAAAGAAATACAAACACTAGGAAAAAGGACTGTGCCATACTACATTTTCTACTTCAGTCATGACTGGGAATATACTGAACGCTTCTTATCATCTGGTTCTTGTAAAACCTAACACAAAGTTAACTCCACTGACATAAAAAAACCTACAAATCACCAAACCCTTGACTTTCCTTTAAAAAGTGCCTTTTTATCAATATCAAAGCATGAGGAATAGCTTTAGTTAGCACCCCTCTTAACCTCAAGGACTTTATCAATGAACAGAGATTTTCAAATATAATCACCATAAACATGAGGAGGTAGGGACTACACATACAGTGGCCTCTAAGATCAAAGATAAATGCACTGAGGGCCGTTAAAGACTATTTCAAAGTCAAAGGAAAGTCATGTTTTTGAAGGGATGCAGGGTAGGAGAGGGAAGAGCACTGTCCTTCTGGCTTTTCTGAGCCACTTCAATTTATTGAAAACTTTCTCTGTTGAAAGTTATATGGTAGAATCCTCAGAATTTTCATTAGTTGAAAAGGTGTCAAGACTTTTACCTATATCAATTCTCTTGTGGACTACAAGGATAGCAGGAGATCAAGCTATGCCCAGAATCACCTTGCTTCTGAACTACAGCTGCCAAGAAAACTTGCTGACAAAGTGGCATCCCTTACGTTATGTCCACAAACATCCTACCCTCTATAGCGAAGACTCTCAAGTGAAAGCAGATGCTACTCTACTACTCCACCTATGGAAGAAATATAAATTATACCAGTACTACATATGATCCCATGTTTAAAAGGGAGCACACGTTGCAATTATAGCAATTACTTAACCTCTTTCTAAAAGAAATTCAGCACACCCGTTCCACCACTGAGCATATTCTGAGAGCATTTAAAGAAAACAGTTAACTTAGAAGGCTAAGTTTAAATTACAAATCAAGCCATTGCAAATACTGAAGACTTGAAAATTAATGGTCTTGGCTTCCAATATACTTCTTTGGGTTTTTTTTTTTAAGTCTATGTGGAACAAGACTTTTCTAAAAGGTTTATCTCCTGTTGTTTCCATTGTCAAAGCCAAGCATTCCCAAACCTGGGTGCTCTACAAGACTAAAGGGAAAACATGCATATAATAATCAGGGAAGGAACTTGACAGACAGCAGCTTACTCTCAAAAACATTATCTACTACTATATAGCCTTCTACTATCACCAAGAAAGAGAAGATAATAATTTTGGAAGAACAATTCATTATCTATTTCAAATAATGCCAACTTTATACAATAAAAGCAAGCATAAATAGTTTACGTACACCTTCAGTTTGAGCATTAGAGGGTTTCTTAACCACAGATAATTATTTAACTTGCTCTGATCAATGAATGTAAGGAGAAGAAAAACCACCACCCCCCCAACTGGTTTTAAGACAGCACTTGATCGCAATAAGGATTTGGCACTATCACATGCAAAACAAGGTTTTCATTAAGTGGCAGCAGGATCATTTTCAGTGATATGTTCCTACAGAGACACTCTTAATTGTTTCAAAACATATCTGCAATCTCATAAAGTGACAAAATTCAGAGAAAGCAGTGAAGCTTCCAAGACAGCTTATGTGCTTTTGGTAGCTTAAATCCCATTTTTAGGAAACACACCTTAGGTTTCTTAAGTCCTTCCAGAAAACAAGGGGTAAAGTAGTAAGACAATTCAGGAAGCTTTACGCCTGGAGAATAACATGACAGTAAGATATATTTGAAATTTAAGTCATAGATGTTAAGAACACACACCCTTTAGATTTCCAGATTCTCAGATCATGCAACGAGAAATCTTGTTTTCATACAGGTAAGTACCAATCTTTTTTTACATGAATGTTCAGAATACTATCTCTTTTAAGTAACTATATAATCAAACTTTTCTGAAGAATTCTATAAAACCCTGTTTTCAGCTTACACATGTTAAAAAAGCAATACAGATAATGCAATGAGGTACCTTGCAAACAAGACATTGGTTCCTAAAATTTGCAGCAAGAAGGGCATATAACTTCAAATATTTCAGGTATAACTATAAAAGGTATCCAATGTACTACTATGTCCTTCACATTTTCTAGATATCCAAATTCTATTTTATGACTAAAAATTTATTCCTGTAAGATTTACTGCAAGTTAGCTATAATCCACTTTATAAAGACTAAAATATCCTTCAGTTTTTATTTTTGGCCTAGATAAAAGGAATTTATCAGGTTACAGAACCTTTTTACATCACTTTTCCACACAAATTTTAAACAACAAACCAGAGGATAGATTAAAGATTTGAGCAAGTTTGTCCTGCTATAAATACACAGTGGTGTTCCTTATATCTTAGATTTTCCCTGTTTACTGGTCCTCAAAATTCTTCTTAAGGGTTAAGGAGGCTTTACAGATCTGTTATCACTATTTTTAGTGCTGAGGAAGATTTTTAAAGCCATGAATCTACAAAAAAAAAGTGGTTTTAACTGCAGCACTGGAAAGCTATATGACATCTGAGAAGTTTCAGTACCAAGGAAACAGAAGTCACTTCCTCTTAAGATTGAATATCACCAAAACACATGATCCAATCAGATCATGTCAGAATTGTGTCTGACATTTCAATTCCCTTTAAATTCATATTTGTAGCAGTAAGTTCCATAAAACACTAAAAAGTCCCTATTTCTGTATTTTTTTCCTACCTTCCAGCTGCCACCTACAAAAACAGCTAAATAAACTACAGATGTAAATTTGGAATCATCACCTCAGTTTGTGGATTAGCACACTTCTGTCTAGCCATTAAAATCTCTTATCTTCCTTTATTAAAAGGATAACTACCAATCATAAAGCCTAACAGAAGTAGGGGCCAGAGAACAGGACTGGATTGTGAAAGGGGAAGATGCTGAAAGATTCTTCTCACCTTTGTATTCATTAAGGAAATAAAGCATTAATCAAATTAGCTTTGCTCATAATTTGTGGTGTTCTTACACAATGAATTTCAAGAAACCAAAGAAGTTTCACCTCCACACACACCTAGCAACAGTCTCAACCTTTAAAAAACTGCATTATCATATAGATAAGAACTCACCTGTGTTGTTTTACCAGACCCAGTCTCTCCAACCAGCACAAATGACTGATGCCTAATCAAAATATCCGTAAATCTTTCTTTATATTCCCAGACAGGAAGTTGTAACCTTTTTTTCAGGATGTCATAATATCGCGGTGTATGTGGTAGATTTGTGAAAGGGTTAATACTGTGTGGAATCATTGCTGGTTTTATAGTTGGTAACCCAGCAGCTGCATAATACGTAGAGTTAGATGAAGGTCGCAAATCTTTTTCCTTGTCCCTTTCTCTGTCACGATCTCTATCTCTGTCACGATCCCTGTCGCGATCTTTAGAACGGTCATCTCGGTCCCTGTCCCGGTCACGATCTTTCCTAAAATGAGTTAAGGGACATAGCAGAAAATGAGATACTTGAATAAGTAAATGCAGAGTAGGAATTTAAATACAAAGCAATTTTAAAGGTATCTAGTACAAAGTGGATATAAACCAAATCTTTCAAAAAGCCTTGCAAACTGCTACCTGGAAGGATAAGCGTCAAAAAGATAACAGTATGTGACGCATACTGAATATTAAATATACATAGTTACACTCACTGTACATAAGCACTGCCACAGTTCCTCTCACTACAGGCAATACTGAAGAAAGCCATCACATGGAGAGCATCACCTTAACCCTCTTCATTTAATGATTATAAAGAATCATCTGTACATTCTGGATTTTTATCACAATTCTTCCCATCCCTACTTGCTAATGCTGCAGAAAAATAAGAGAACATTAAATAGTCTTCTTGCCTACCTAGCAAGGGAATTATGCTAACCCACAAAAACTAACTCAAGATGATAAGCGAGCCCTGGGAAAAAAGTTTGATTTTAACATCCCACAATTACTTTGCATCTTTTTTTGTTCAAAGTGTTCCACACAATTCTGACTCAATCAACTTTGATACACAGACCGTTAAGTCTGAAACTTAGACTTAAAACCAGCCACTACAGTTCATAAAATCATAGAATCATTTAGGTTGGAAAAGACCCATAAGATCATCAAGTCCAACCGTTAATCTAACACTACCAAGTTGTACCATCTTCTCCAGTATCACCTCCTACCACACACTTAAAACAACCATCATTTATGTATTCCCATTTGTTCCAAATATTAAGTAAAAAAAAGTTCACTGCACTTGCAAAAGAAAAACAGTATTAATTTCACTGTAGTTATCCACTCAAATTTCAATCTCTGGCCTCAGTCTTGGTGGCAGTTTCTAATTTTGCAAATCCACGTACTTGTTCTTGCATATAATCTCACTCTCCCTATGAACACTGAAACACTTGCAAATAAATCCCCAGTTTGACGCAAAGAACTATAGCTACATGCTTTTAATAAAAATCCCAAACTTACCCTAATTCAGCACTTTGAAATAAGCTCCACTTTACAAAAACGCCCCATCACATTTTAAATTAGTGTAAGTCAAAAAATTAGCAGCATCTTTGCTTGCAAAACTGAGGATATCCTCAGCTTCAGCTTCTTTTGTGCATCATGTTAACTGGAAGTCCATCAAAAAGGCAAAGCAACAAGCTAAGTCAACACCAGCTTTATTGTAAATGTACATATAAACATTTTTAGGAATAGCCATTAAGGGAAAACAAAACTTCCCCTCTTCTTTACCAGCATTCAGGCATGCCTGAAAGAAAGAGTAGAGAGCATTTCTCAAGAAAACCGTTGGCCAACACTTCCCTCCACAGCTTTTTTTTTTTTTTTAACATGCAGCTGGCATTCAAATGTAACTAGTGAAGTAATAAGGAAATTCCTACCTACAGGGAAGATGAAGTAATCAAGACCATATTAGTACTGATTCTATAAATTTTAATTCAGAATGTGCTGCACATTGGAAACAACCACCGCTCCTGTTCTTGTACAAATGAATGTAATCTATGCAGGCTGTATTTTTTTTCCCCTCAATACTTCAACATATTATGGCTTCAGAGGTTGTTGCAGTAAGTTTTTTTTAAGACGACTTCTTTTAACACAGACCCATTAAAAATAAAGAAGGATTACAAAACATACTGTTTACTGTCACTTACCTAACTCACTTATATATAGATTTTCCTAAAGCTTTGGACACTGAATTGTCTGAAAATTAAGGCCCTTTTAGATCATTTGCTTGAATCTGAGATACCATAGCTTCAACATTACTTCTAACACTGTCAAATATTGTACAAGCTAGAAATCTCTTCTTACTGTAAAATGGCAGGCAAATATGACAGAACCCAATAGGTTCATATTCTCTAGCATGGCAAAGTTACCCTGTTACAAACTGAAGGAACTAGGCGCCATTATGCTACACTTAATGGTGGAAGAGTCTAATAGCATGTATCAGACAGGAATGAAGCTTTGGACTTGTAGTTAATGAGCTATTCACAATCAGATTTTTAAATATTTGCAGATATTGGGATAAACAAGTGCATGGTCAGACAGTTACATCATTAATAAGAAAAGGAAATACAGGTATAAAAGCAATTCAAGAACGGCAAAGCCAGGGTAAAATGCAACAACCTGGTAAGAGCACACACTTCACTGAAGGGTTTTGGGGGGTTTGTGTGTGTGTGTGCGCTTCTGAAAGATTCCTCATTGTTATCTAGTCAAAGTGTAAAAAAAACACACCAGCAAAACAAACTATTCCATAACCATTTACTTAAACAGTGTGATGTCAGAAGCTTCTACATCACAGATTGTCAAATGTATCTTCAGGTATGCTTCAGCCTCACATAAAACCAGCACTACTGCTAAAATGAACAGACCCACACTGTTCCAACTCTTCCCGTGTTGGTATAAGCATTTCAATGGCCTCATGAAGAACAAGTCCTCCCTAGACCCCCTCCACCAATGTTAATTCTAACTCAGATCAGTTCTCCGATCTAGTCTCCCAAACACTCACTTGCAGCACAAGGGAGAGGGCACCACTGTCGTCTTCTGTGTTGGTAGCAATTTGTGTGGGCTTGAAACATAGATAAAAATACAACCTCAAGAACAAGGCAGTAGATTAAATGCACTATAAATACGATCCAGAATGTAAAGTCCTGTTAATCCCCCATTTCTCAGTTTCTTCGTTGAACTCTTACAGCTGTTTAATCGTACAAATAAGAAAACAAACCTATCAAGTTCTAGCCACATTTCAGAAGTAAAAAACTTCTTACAGGCTAATCAAGAGAGTTGTGTCTCTTTCTTGTTTTAAAAAAGAAAAAGAAGTGGGGGCAACCAGATCTCAGCACAGAAAAAACAGAACATATAACATGCCCTCAAACTTACACTCTAACACTTACCGTTTTATTGCAGCACTTTTTTTCCCCCCCAAAAATGTTTCCCAGTCTCCTGTTACTACTGAAACTACTTACTTAGCAGACACATCCAGACTCCTTTGGTCAACAAGAGAAGCGAGGAACAACAGTTATGCTGCCATATGAATTTACTAAACTTTCTAAAAATGCAACTTGGCAGTTCTTCATTTATAAACTGACACATTTAAATTACTTTTCATTATTGCACAAAGAAAATTGATCTCAAACCCAGAAATGAACAACAAAAGAATCATAATTTAATCGCATTTGTCTTGTGCCTGAATCCCATAACAGCCTCCATAATCAGAAGGGGGTTGGAGGTTTTTTTGCTTTGTTTTTCAAGTGAAGTAGCCTGGTCTGCTATCTGCTTTCACTTCCTTATGTCCACACATGTATAATATATATACACATGGATACAAAAGAAACACTGTAGCAATCACTAAGTCAGAGGATGAAAAGCATGTAAAAATGAAAATGGAAACAAAGGGCACAAGGTAAAACCACTGATCATCACAGCAAAAGTCTAAGCACATCCAGTATTAACATCGGTGTTATTTCTCCATTGCTAGACATGGCAATAGCTGATGCAAAAAAGCCAATGCAGCTAAAGGAGGATTTCTGTTCTATACATAAAAAAACTAAAGTACAATTAGTCTGAATAATACATCCCACTAACACAGTTAACTGTGACGTTACACAACAACAACTGAAGTTAAGTATGTTTGGAAAAAAATTAACAGATTTTAAATAGTATGTATGCAATTCACACGAACACTGTAACCAAAAATCTTCCATACAATTCCCATTTTTCCAAAAAGTTTTTTATTTCATAGGTAATACTTCAAGACTGGAAGAAAACAGATGTCATGCTGATGGTTAAGGTTACACCAATAACCCTGTTGGGCCTGGCACTGTTGCCATGTAGAGCCACACATACCAATACAGGCCTCAATTAAAAAGGAACTAAAAAAAACACAGGGTAACTTGATACAACTTTCATATTTAGTCAGGTGGTCCAGTTTGAATGCAAGATAAACTGCTATTCTGCATGTGAAGTGGTAACCATCCAAGGAGCCAATTCAGCTTAATCCAACTTCAAAACCAACTAAATTGCATAAAGGCACTATCAGCACAGAGGAAGACATGTACATACATGCTATTAACAAGAATCTCTCTGTGCATCTTCCTTACAGCCTTCCATAAGCTGTAAAACCAAACTACCCTAAAATAAACTAAGACAATGTAACATTAGTATGGCTTGTGCTACATGAATTAAGTTTTCAAGTAATATTAGAAATAATCACGCTCAACAATTATGCTTTAGTGACTTGTTCTCAGTCCTATGTCATTTAATGCTTTTATTGGCAGTGGATGAGGGGTCAAAGAAGGGGCACAAGACCAGCACTTGTACAGTTTTTAGGTGCCATAAAGGTCAAAGACTTCTGGTTAAAAAGTTTTACCACTGGTGGGAACTCATTACAATATATGCAAAATGGTAAGACTAAGAGTTCAGGATGACAGTAGATAACCAGCAAAAACAATGCCAAATAAAACCATGCCAAAGCTATAAAACCCACCAACATACAAACAAGGAAATCCTGACCTGTGATTATCTTTACAACCAACTGTAACAGTTGTACCACATTTAAATAATGCCCAGTTTTGGCATAACCATTTGAAAATTTTACAAAAATCTCTATGTACAAAACAGCTGCATATGTACAACTTTTCTGCATACACAGAAGAGCTATTTCAACTTCTGGCAAATCATGCAAAAATGTATTAAAGGAGATAAATAGCTCAATACATTTATTAAAAAAAGTAATATTATGGTGATCCTACGTGCAGGAAATAGATGTTCAATAACAAACATTCACTTTTGTTTAGCAGAGGAAAATGCAACAAACTCTAGGGGCTGAAAACTGAAGCCATACAAGCTCACCTTTAAAAAAAAAGGCAAGTTTTGCAAAGGCCATTTATCAGTGAACACTAACTGCTATGGTAGACTTTTAGTTATTGCAAGCTTTGAGAACAAG